AAGTTAGAGGAAGAATATGAACAAATGCATGCCATTTATGGGCTATTTTTCAGTAAATTTGAACTAATCATTAGTTTATATTTCAGCTCTAATATAATATTACCTGATGATGTTAAAATATAAGTTCATGTGCCTTTTGAAGATGGGATGTTCAACCAGCTGGATAATCTTATTTCCCATATGAAAAAATATATATACAATTTTTAGGATGCTTTTTTGAAGGGATCCATTTTTCATCCTTTTAAGAGTTAGGGTTTGCTAAGTTATGAAAAATATAAATGGTGGCTTAAGCAAAATGTTTTATTTATTTAATTTTAACATAAGAAGTCTAAAGACAGGAAGCTGTTGATATTAATTTGGCGGTTCAAAAATAGAAGGCCAAGGCTGGTAATTTTTGTGGCCTTTTCTTCATTAAATGGTGATTGCAGGTCCAGCCATCAAACTATTTTCTAGAAAGGAAGAAAAGACAAGAGGAAAATATAAAAGGGATTGTACATGTATTAGGAAACCACTTCCTGCTCACCCAATGACCTACAGATAGAAAGATAGTGAACAAGTAACAGTCTGACAATGAATTCTGATGGCATGAGGAAAAAGGCTTTCCCAGAAGTTCAACATACTTCTGCCTAGCTCTCACTGGCAACAGCTGTGACACATTATCAATGCTGTCTGCAAGGAAGACTGGGGAAGAGAATTCTGTTTCTTAATTATATATTTATTATATATTTTTCCAGCCCCCATTCTAGAGAAAAATAAGGGAAAGAGAGTTAGAATGGATGAGTGAATCAGCCTATAATATCTTCCATAGTCCTTAAAGTTAAGTTTCCTAAAAAATGTTGTATTGACAGTAATAGGAAAATTTTGTTATTCAACAAAATTTTTAAAGATGTACTTTGTTACAGAATTTCACAGAGTTTCAGAAGCTCGTTTACCTGATTTTAGTGACCATATCTAACCCATCTAGGTTTTACAAATGAGGAAGCTGAGATCCACAAATTCTAACTGACCTGCCCAAGACAACGGTCCAAAATTAGTTATTCCAGAACCAAGAGCCCACTTTGATTTATCACACAGCTTCTGTGTTAGCATCCTCATCCCAGTGTAACCCCTGTCCATTATACCTTTTCTGTCTAAGTGCTTTTTAAAATACATTTTAAAAAGACTGAAAAAGTATGCTTCCCATGCTCTAACTTATTTCCAACTACTGAGCCAAAATTCCAACTACATAACAAAGATGTTTCAATATATTGATTACGGTTTTGATTAATATGAAAGATGGTTTTACATGATAACCTTGTTTTTCTGCTGCCCCCATTCTAAACCTTCTGCTGTTAACTTTGGAGTTGTTATTTCCTGACATTAAGAATACTGGAACAAACCTTCTTTTCCTGTGATTCTTTTTCCTTCTTTCTTTCTTTCTTTCCTTTCTTTCTTTCTTTTTTTTTTTTTTT